TGAGGAGCCAGAGAGCAGGGAGCAGCTGGGCACGCAGCTGAAGCCTGCTCAGGAGTGTGTTTTCTCATCAGTGTCTCAGGAAGCCACAGGGGATGGATGGTGTGACCTGACATTTTCAGCAGCATCCTCTGCTGCTCAGCGGGATGTGGAGTGGGGGTGATGGCAGGAAGACCAGCCAGGAGACTGTCCTTGCGGACCGGGCACAAGATGAGGGTGGTCAGGCTTCTGGCAGGGGAGCAAGGAGAAGGGGTTGGGTGCCACTTCCTTTTGGGGTTTGCTCTAGCGGTGATGGCATGCAGGGTCCTCAGGTCTCCCTGCGATTTTCTAAGGGGCAGGCCTCTGCAGTGGCCGCCTAAGAGTGCATGCCTTTAGCGGCGAGCCAGGCTGTGTGTGGTGTCACGCGCCTCCACGGGCACCCTCTTCTCACTGTTTCAGCCTGCTTGCCTCGTTAAAGGTCATTTTTGTTCAAAGCTTGACCCGCCTGTCCTTTATTTACATGTTAGTGGGATGAAAGTGGATATCCAGCAGAGTTAAATCGAATGCTTTGGAACGACCCGTAGCTTTCTTCCGTCAGTAAGAAAGTGGACTTCTCCATTTTTCCTCAAAGTAATACAAGCGTGCTCTTTCAGAGCGCCTTACTGCCCAGGTCGGGGCAGCGCTTCCAGGAGGCTGGGTGGGTAGAGGCCCTCCACCCTGGCTTGGATTGGGGGAAGCATGTGATTGTGGGGTTGCTGGCTGGCTTGTGCAAGGACACTCACTGTGCAGTGCTCCAGCACTGTTTGCTGGCTGAAGGCGTAGCCGCCTCCTGCCCTGCCTGTTAGGTGCTGCTGATTGGCCCCGTAGTGCTTTCCGAGTCTCTCCCAAGGCTGTGCGTAGGCACGACTTCGTCTGTCTCAGGTGGAGCTCGTAGACCCAGCCTCGCCGAGGCTCTTCCTAGGGAACTAAGTCCGGGGTCCCGGCCTGCTCAGCTCTCTCCCCTGCAGCAGCCCGCTTCCCGTTCCACAGATCCCAGGAGCTTGTCGCCGGGAGAGGGGTTGGGCTCCTGTTGGTGTCCTCCCTGGGTGAAGTTGGGTACGTCCTATTTGCCATATTGGTTTTTTCCAGCAATTAGGCTGCTGAGGGTAGTACCGCATTCATGCTTACGAGTAGATCAGGCTGGAGAGAGACAGTGTGTGTGCATGAGTGAGACAAGCCCTCTGAAAGTGAGGGCCTTGTTAAACGGTGGGGGGACTCCACTGCCTAAATTCTCTCTCTCTCTCTCTCTCTCTCTCTCTCTCTCTCTCTCTCACACACACACACACACACACACACACACACACAGTCTCTCTCTCTCTGTGTGTGTGTCTCTCTCCCTCCCCTCCACCCAGCCCTGCAGTGCACCTGCCCCCTGCTCTGGGTGGTGTCTGCCTTGACTCCCTCTGTCCAGGGTGCATGCTCCTGGGGCACTGCACTGCCTGCTCCCTGGGCTGTACAGGGCACCACATGGCGACAGAGCTGGGTCTGGTGGCTGCTGGCTGCCATGGCCCTCTGGACATGCGTGGAGAGATGTCAGTGGCCCTGGGCCTTCTCGGTGAGGAGGTGTTGGGCAGAGTTTCCCCGTTTCTTCATGATTCTGTGTGGTCAGCGTCCGTGGAGTCACCACCTTTGTGTCATTCCTTTTCCTCCTGTTGCTCCCCCTCCTGTCCTTGTGTGGCCCCTGTCCCCTCCACCCCGTGCTCCTGACCCTTTCGGGGTCTCAGACGCTCCTCAGAGGCTTGCTGATGAGCAGACTTAAGGGCTGTTGAGCTGTACCCCTGTCCCGTGCCTGCCTCATGCACCTGGCCTGCTTGTATTCTAGTCTCACATGCTGTCCCCTGGGCTTCTTTATGCCCCAGTGGCCGGGAAGGACAGAGGCTGCGTGTTTGTGACTTGTGGTGAGGCGCTGTTGGCCAAGGGGCTCTTCCTGTTGACGCCCTGCACATTCATCTCCCTCTGGGGCCACCGAGGGGCTGCCCGCAGCACGGCTCCGCTGGCCGCTACTTGCAGCTTGGTTAAATAGCACTGTCATCATTTGCTAGGCTTCTGTGCATGAGAAATTCTTAAATGGCACCGTGTTGTTGAGTGGGTTCAGTCTTTGATGCTAAATATGCAGCTCTGTTTAGAAAGTTGTGGACTGAGATGAAAACCGTGTGTGGATTTATATACGTGAATGTATACTCATCCAGCAGCGCCCTCGGGTGCCTGCTGTGCCAGGCGGTTGCCCTGCCACTCATTGGACCAACTGCATGGACGGCAGGCTGGCGATGCCACTCCAGATAGAATTTCTTGGGTTGAGAGACTTCACCTGTCGGCCCTGGGCCCCTCCTTTGCAAGTCCCGGGTGGATGGTGATTGTGGGGATGGAGAGTGCCAAGCCAAGTAAGGTTTAGGATTGCAGGCGATGCAGGAGGCATGGAGTCGCCTGGGCACAAGTACAGGTGGCTCTGCGGGGCTGAGTGTGTATGGAAGTGATGGAGTTCATGCATGTGTTAGGCGTTTGCTCCTGAAGTCTCCCTCCTGTGCCTGTGCCTGGTTTGTATGGACTGGCCTGGATGGAGCAGCTGCACCCGGCCTTAGCTTGCAGGCAGCCCAGAGGTCAGGCTGGAGCCTCCAGCCAGTGACTCAGTGGAGAGGAGTGGGAACCGGAGGGCCACAAAGTGGGAAGTGGTTGGCTCTTCCTAAAAGAGGGCAGCGAGGGTATCAGGTGGCAGCAGAGTCTTCGAGGAGGGAACGGTGCTTGAAGAATTCTGAAAGCCAGGGCAGTCGAGACTCCAGGTGCAGGAGGGGCGGGCTTTCCAGGCAGCGGCAGGAGCGTGGGCTGATGGCTGGCAGGCTCAGTCGGGGAGGAGTGCTGCAGCTTAGCGCAGCAGGAATGTGGGTGCTGGCTGGGGAGACCCTGGGGCAGGGGCTAGACTGAGTGGCGGGGGATACTGTGCTGGGCCTGTGGTGGTGGA